TTGCGCACAAGGTATTTTTGAAAGTAATCCATGGACGCATCAGTAAAAACTAGTGGCACGAATAGATGATAGTCAATTTGGGTTTAGAAACGGACTAGGGACGAGAGAAGCGTTGTTTGCACTAAATGTGTTAGCACAGAGATGTCAAGACACAAATATGAATATTCATGTCCCGTTGACTTCGAAAAAACTTTCGGTACAATGAGATACGGAAAACTAGTCAAAATTCTCCAACCAAAAAACATCGACAACGGGGACTTAAGAATAATTACAAAACTTTATTGGAATCAATAGCAACAACGCACAAAACGTATTCAGTGAATCAACTATTGAAGAGGCACTACTATCTCAAAATGAGAGAATAATGGTTAATGGTAAACGGAAAGATTATAAACAATGTAAGATTCGCGGACGACACAGCGATTATAGCAACCTCCCCTGAATAACTCCAAATACTATTATATAGAACTGGTACATTTTGTACACCAGTTCTATACTGGTACATTTTGTGAACAATGGGGACTAAAAATAAACATAAGGAAGGCCAAATACACATAAATTCCCACATAAATATATAGGGCCAATAAATGAAAGGGTTCAAAAATATAAATACCTGGGCACCTGCATTACAGAAAATGACGACCAAACAATAGAAATACGAACTAGAAGAGAAACAGCAAGAAATGCATTTGTGAGATTGAAAACAATCCTCTGTTCCAGACCCCTCGCAATAGAACTAAGCGATAGAACATTAAGGTGCTATCTGTTTGCAGTACTACATTATGGATTGGAAGTCTGGACGCTCCAACAGGAGCACATGGACAAGCTGTGGTCGTTGGAAATGTGGTGTTACAGAAGGATGCTCAGGATATCATGGACAGAAAGAAGAACAAGCATGGATGTACTTCGAGAAATGGGTAAAGAATGTGAAGTAATTAACACCATAAAGGCAAGAACATATGAGGCAGCGATATGAGATGCTTAGATTGATCATGCAAGGAAAGATAAAGGAAAGACGGAGCATTGCTAGATTAATTTCATGGTTGAGAAATTTGAGCGATTGGTTGGTTGTAGCTCAATAGAATTTTTCAGAATAGCGGCAAATAAAGTAAGAATAGCAGTGATGATATCCAACCTCCGATCGGGGACGGCACTCAAAGAAAAAGTACTGAATATCTGCAAATTTCTGTTATCGGTCTAAGTGATATTGATTAAAATAATTTGCAATCTCAAAATCTTCAATTCTGTTGCAATAAATTTGACAAACACTCAAACTGTACAGAAAATAAACAGATACCCATGGATGAATGAAGGAGACGCAATTAACATATACTTAAAGCAACTTATATAGAGGAAATCGAACAAATCAAAAATAGTTAAGTAAGTACGTGTTCATATAAAAACGATGTGGAAATTGTTAAAAGATAAGTAAGTACATCAATAGAAAACTTAAATCAAACAATGATTCATTACATCCAACATCAACTGGACAAGTTAACATAAAAAACTTCGTCAAAACCAAAACAAAAGTTTCTCTATCGAAATGGATATCGAACATCTGAGATTTACGATGAAAAGTTAACCTACAACTATTTAAACATTGCTTGCGGTTCTAGAACAACAACTATGAATTATTTGACAGCCTATTATAATAAATTGACAGCGCATTGATTAGGTACACATTTATCTTACACAGATCAAAGTAGTGCCATTAAATTGAATTTATATTAGAAACTTTCGCAAAAGCTACATAACAATTGTTATCTCCAGATGTTAATTATATGCAAACTGAAAGTGTATTTAGTTAATTTTTTTGTATAGAAGAAACCGGAGAACTTGAAGTATTATGAACATCATCCAGCACATCTTCGAAAATCCAGAAAAATGTCTTGCAGTTAAGGTAGATTTATGAAATGAGTTCGAGTTCGATATAGGTATATATAAGAAAAACCTTGAGGATATTTTATTTTTGTTTGGTGAAGTAAGTAGAGGCGTCAATATTTAAAAAAAATGAGCTATTTGGAAAATTTACATTCATCTTACAGACAAAACACAATAAAATCTGAACAGAAAAACTATTAGATAAAATTTATTTATCTAACCACACTGCTAAAAAGTTTAGGCGACAATTTAATATTTCATTTAACAAAATAAACAACCTTTTAGAAGTGACGTCATAAATTTCACAAAGAATAGTTAAACTGGTTATTAATGTCCATGGATGCAATTAAAAAAAGTTAAACAGGATTTAATGCGAAGCAGTTTGGCGAATTTATTCAACAACCTTCTCGACTAGCAAATATTTAAATACAGAGAATAAATAAATGCCTAGACAAATGATCTATTTTGGTTTTTGCGTAAATCACAAAGTAATTGAGACACAATGAACTAGGTTTATTTATAAATCGATTGCACAGCTGGATATTTGTGTATCGGGATTATTTATATTCTTAGGTATGAGGTTTTTCGCTAAATTGTTGAACAAAAGCGAATTATCAGATACTAATCAAAACGCATCAAACACATTTCTGTTATAAAGCATAAACAAGCTAAATAATTGCTTTTTTTTCAAAGTAGTAGCAAAACTTAAAATAAAACGATATTTGAAAGAACAACTGCGAGAATCCAATAATTAGAACCCTTTACGAAGTATTAACATATTCGCTATTAACCTAGTTGTAAAGGTTTTTTAAAGAAACGAATACTGCCGATAACCGACTCTGTGATTTTCTGACTGGTGGGACTTTAGCTGAAAATCCTATGGAAATATTCGAGGGGGATGGATGAATTATGTATTAAGGGTCATGATTACAGCCCCTGTAAATTTTTGTGGAAGCTCTGTTAAATCCAAAATGGTCTTTAACCACATATCCAGGAGCAACGAGATAAAAAAACAAGCTACTATTAGTGACTGTGCCAGGTAGGCGTTGAGGTTTTATCTGCTCAGCAAAGAAATTTAACATGTACTAATTTAGATATGAATTGAACCATATGGATTTTTTGTAATTAAGTGTTTTCGGTCTTGTTTAGAATGCAAGTTGTTTCGCTTTTCAAAAGCTTTGATATTTTGATGATTAGGAATTCTTCAAGAATAAAATATGGAAACAAGCCTAAATATTCGTCAATAAAAGAGCTTCATATTTTGCATATACATGAAAGTATTATTAGTGGTGCAAAGATCTAAAAGAAAGCCGTCCAATTAACGTCTAAAATAGAGAGGAGATACTGACTTGAGATGAAATGGCTCTGCAACACAAAGAAAGGTCTTTTAGGTAATGTCTCCAAAAATATGTTGCACATTCATGTTACATACTTAATATAACGTAAAAGGTAGTACTCCTCTAGGTATCAAAATATATTTCAGACCTTAAAAAGGTCCGAATGAAAATTCAAAAAACAATAATTATTTAACTCTTCAAAGCCAAGAACCCGAATAAATCACGGAACCAAGTCTCAAATATTACAAATGTGTTGCAAACTTTAAACAAGAATTAGTAGTCAATATTAGCAAAAAACGCATATATCGAATATTCCCTGAAGAGCCATCATCATTAGCGTTGGCATAATAGATATCAATGATCGAATGCACTGACAGAGTTAATGTGCTCTTAAATTTGCATCATCGGATGAATTATACGCCTCATCTATTTAACAAATTTAAACATTTAAAACGGATAATTTTTAGCTTAATATCTTCAAACAAGGTCTAAAAATGTTGTCAACTTGGGAGCAAGAATCATAAGGTACAGTATGATAAGAATAGAATAGAAAATTATTATTTTAACTTTTCGTCAATTCTCAACGATTCTTGAAATATCGAGGCATGAGTAGCTGCTAAAGAGTGAACTACATTTTTGCAACCAAGCGTCTTGGTAAATTAACAATTAAGTAGCTAATTGAAAGAAATAATGCGGCAGAAGCACGTGAAAGCGTTGAAAATAATCCTGCTAGAATATTTTTTCCCTTACTGAAAAAGTAAGAAGTCCATGCAAAACATATTGTAAGAAAATTGTAATGTATATATAATTTATAAACCTGATTTATAAACCTGATTACCAACCGATACGATCAAAGGTCATCAAATATTCTCCCAAAAAGTTTGAGCAGAAATAATGAATAATGAAATGTTCCGAGCGTTTTTGGAGAACCCTTTACGTCCACCACTGGAGGACATTCTTCTTCAAATTTAACAAACGACATATTTTTTTACATGATGGTACTCCAGCGCATTTTAATAGAGTTATCACTGATTTTCTCAATAAAAATTATGCTAATCTATTGATAGGTCGTGGTGGTTTCATTGCTTGGCCATCGCGATTTCCAGATCTCAAGCCGTTGGACTTTTACATGTCAACAGAAACCAACTCATCAGAAGAATTCCACCCAAGATCTGATGAGGTGAAAAACAATATGGAAGACTACAACTGGGAACGAGAGCAACGACGAAGCTTGATAACAAGTTGATAATAATTACCCTGTCATTCTATTTAAAAAAATATATGTATATACAAACCCCCGATATTTGATGAACCGCTGAGAGTTCAGGGAAAGTGAACAGAATATATTTTGCTTGAAATTAGTCATAGAATTGATATACCAAGTATCTGAAATACCTCGGCCAGCAACTTTGTATAGGTATAAATTTTGAAAATAAAATTAGTAGTTGATGCAGTGACGTATTAAAAAAAATGTATTTAATTGAACTTTCCGTTTGAAAGTAAACGTTTGCCTCTAAAAGCCGGTTCAAGTAAATTAGAAAACAAACGTTGCCACAGTTCGAATAATCAAACAATGGATTAGTTCTCGAAAAACCATAATTAGATAGGATTTCACATATTCTTCCTTAATTGGCTCAATTTGTGCAAACCTAAAATAGCACCATTTTCAAAACGTTTTGATGTACAGTTTTTCATTTTTATTCTCAGAAGCCGAATAGCAAGTGCGTTTGCTAGAAACCCAATTGCTTGTGCGAAAACATAGATAAATCAACAACTATTTACCTTCCTTCCAAAAAGCAGCAACGGAAAATTTATGTAAGTAATCAGTCAAAATTCACTCACTAAGTCACAAATCCATAACATTCACACAAATAGTTGCTGCAATATAAAAATAACTCAGCTTTTATTTACAGAGGGGGCATGTATTGTTTATTTGTCTCTATTTTTAGCGTTTTATTTTTGCGGAATAAGGTTATGAAAGAAAAGCGTGTTTTGAAAGCGTGTTTCCGGAACAGAGTGGCTCGAAGGTCCGTACCAAAACGCCGATGAAAGCAAACTCCTGAACGCTCGGGCCGTTGCTGAGTTTCGAAATTATATTCAAACAGGTTTTGCTCGGCTCAGTTTTCTGGCGGGAATAATATATATGTAGAGACACCTGCAAACGCGGGCGTTTAGTAGCTGAAGCATGGTGAAAGACCGCCATCTCTTAACAAACAGAATATCGACTCGAACCGCAGGAATTGTTTTCCGAGAATAATTAGTTGGCGATTAGTTGGCCAGATGCCTTCGCTTTGTTACATTGAGAAAATTTTTAAATTTTTTTAGTCCGGTCAATTTTTGTACCACTTTCACTGATTTCTTCTACTCATTTAACAGGTCTTGCACATCAGGAGTCATTGGTCCATATCGCCTGTCCAAAAGTACATTTCCAATTGACCAACGAATGAACTTCTTGGCTGCCAAACTGGCCAACTGCTGCATTACTTTCAGGCTGGCACAATGCAAATTCAACACGAATTACTAAATTTTTATATGGGTTACATTCAGTTTTAAAAAAGTTGCCACTTGATGATTTTCAATTGCTCCAAATTATCGGAATTTAAATGCTCCTTTGGTCTTCAATTCAAATAAAAATTGCAATCTTGATTCCGTCATTACAGCTAACTATTTCTCATCTGGGGAAAAATTTGAAGTTCTAAAAGTATGAGTTATTTTACTACTGAAAGATAATGCATTATCCTTCGCAGCTGCCCCTCTTAATGCAGAAATTTACAGAAAAAACTGGAAAATGAGAACCGTTCTGAGCAAAGACAGAAAATACAAATAAAGATAAACAAAATGTATGAAACAGGGCAGAATAAAGTGAGCCAATGGATCACCTCATGTTAAATGGTGTTCTGTAAATAAATCAGCGTTAACTTTCTATTTTGAAGAATGCAAAAAGTCTAGATTTAATACATGACCAAATTTCAATCGTTTGAGTACGATAAGTAACCGATCAGAAGATTCTGCTAGGACGAAACTCGAGATTTTTAGTGGAACCCGGTTGAAACACCTTTATTGAAGAGAGCAGGCATTTTCCGAAAAAATATCTAAAGCCAAAAGTATCATATTTAAGTAAAACGTGATTTGATTATTATCGTATTTAAAAAAATGTAATAAAATAACTCACAGAAATACCTTTAATTTATTTAATCTATCCTAGTGATTATGAAAGAAATGCAAACCGTAGACATAATTTCCTTGAGTACATTTAAAAATTCTAAACTTTGTTTACTGTTGTACTACAAACAATTTGCTACTTTCGCCTATGTTTTTTCACAATAGCTTTATCTTTTGAATTTAATTGAAATTAAATAAGAGATGGTATGGGTTCCATTATGATTTTCATGAAAGATTATGCAGTTGATGTATTGAAACCACGAGCAATGCTTCCTCAAATTTAGTTCTTTGTTGTTTGTTGCGTTTTCTTTTCTAGTACGATCCTATAAAATTCATTGCAATTTCCACAGCCAATATCATTCAATATCCAACAGAAACACTGCAATTTTGCAATTTGTGGATTTGTATTCGTTATCTCAGATAAACTCATAAATTACAAGATGGGAAAATGACTAGTTTTACTAAATTAATCACCAAGAGCTGAGCAAAACTGGGCATTCTGATTAAAAGCAAATGTTGAACTGAAATGTTCTTGCCGCAAAGTATCAAACAGTAATAACCGCAAACTCACAAACATGCCCATAAATTACTTTTTGATACAAATAGAGGTTTTTTCGCATACTCGTTTTCAATTATAAAGTCATTAAATCCAAAGACTGTTAAATCAGCGTGAATAATTAACGTCTAATTCTAGTTGCGGATGTTTGGAATCTACCTGCACCATTAATAATGTCTAGATTCATTTCAAATGCCTCAAGGCTTTTCCCAATTATAGGTATAAGTAAAATCTTGAAATGTTGTTGCACGTGTCTGGCTGTTGAAATGCGACGGCGGTTAATTTCATATATCCTTAAATAAAACATGTTGCAATGCAAGGTGCATCCAGATTTAGTGACAGAAGAAGCAGAATATTGGAAAACTTTAAAATTCATTAAAGTATTGACTATTGAAATGAGTGGTAATAAACTGTTTTAAATGCTCCAGTAAAGTTGTTGGGGAAACGAAGTGGTTCTTGGTTGTCTTTTAAGAGTCAGTTATTAGAGTTATTATTCCATTTCTCATGACTATTAGTTTCTTTGCAGCTTCAAATTTAAGGTTTTGTTAATGTACAGATACGTAAAATGGAAATGTGTACACCCTAATAAAATGCCATAGTGAATTTGTAACCCCCAAAGAGGGCATCTTTTCAATGTCGGCAATAGTAACCTCGTGCCACTTGCATATTTTTTAACGGATAAAATATACGCCAATCGATTTTATTCTTACGTCGATACATTCATTTAATATTTTTTATTTTGCATTTAACCAACTCCTCAACGTGTTTGTTTACTAATATTTGAACGATTGGTTAAAAGTCACGGACACATCTCTATCTCTGATTTTCAATTCCGGAAATTATTAGTTCGGTGATCCAGTCATAGGATATTAAAAGATTTTACCTCAAACATTGAAAAATGCATAAGACCTTGCACATTAAGAAATTGCTTCCTTTGATTGGTTCAAATAACAAGGCCATAAATTTATCAGAAACGTGCATACTAAATTTGGATGTTTAAATACGAACATTTCTCTCAAAAATTGGCGCCTGCAGACAAGTTAAATTTATTACCAAATCGCCGTTTATGATACTATATCACATACAAATTTAAAATTATTAATATTAAGTAAGTAAACGGTATTTGCCAGCTTATGTAAATATAATAATTATATACGGCCTAGAGTAGAGATCTCGTGGCTTTGTCATAAATTTTAATAATATTAAAGAAGATAAACAACAGAACTTCATAAGGCCAAGATCACCGAGCATTATACTTGAAATTTAATAAATAAATCAGGCAATGTCATAAATTTGGTTTTTGGACAAATATTGGAATATTTTGTGCGTACTTGCAAATTTTTCAAATTTAGAAAATTGTAAGTTGGAAATATGTGATAATGCTTTACATGACGATCATTATATAATTATCGCTGATGTCATCAGGTTCAAACCATAAAATTTACTGATTTTTTCCATAATTAATAATGTTTTTAAATCAGCAACATTTCTAAGTTTATTTCTCAGCAAGTTTAAGTAACTTTAGTTACTGAACAAACCAACATCACAAAAGTTTCATTACACCGCGGCTCATTCACTGTTTGAGTAACAA